CTAATCCTAGGAGTTATTTGAAAGTTCTGAAACAGGAGGCGTTGTTTTGAATTTGTCTATTTCAAAACGAATTCACATCCTCTTCTGATTCGCTGCTACTTTTCCTCTCCGCTTGTAAGTGATCTTTTAGTCTTAGCCTTAGAGGACAAAAGGTTCGGGAACGTTTCCGTAAAGAACAAAATGTAAACAAAACTCTCGGGAACATTCTCAAGACGAACATTATGAGAACGAAACTTTCGGAAACGTTTTCAATGAGAACAAAATAAGAACGAACGTATCGAGAACTTTTTCAAGGAGGATCAAATAAGAAAAAAGTCTGGGGAACGTTCTGCTGGAGAACAAAACGAGAATACAAGTTTTGAAAGCCTAACGTTAAAAAATGGGAGGGGCGTCCGCGGGTTGGGAGGGAATATCGTTTCAGTGAAAACCTTGATTGTTAATTTTCAGCCAGGGGAAAGCTGGATCATTTCGACTTCCAGATCGTTCATCATTAGGCACGCAACATTTATGAAAATATTTTTCGTATTCTGTGCATAAAAGTTTGTGTCTTAAGTCTTTCGGTGTATTAATTTGCATAACTATTTTTCAGTTTGTTTTTGATTAATTTTAATTTTGTTATCGCTCCAATTTTTCGCCGATAGTTAGTAGAAGATTTGTTACCGTTGGTTCTCTTTCAGAAAGTTCCTTAGCCTTTTGTTCCAGGTTGGTCTTTACCGGAACGTTGCGGAGCCTTTTGTTCTCTCAGGAATGTTTTCGAAAACACTGTTCGCATTTTGTTCTCTTTGGGAACGTTCCACAGTGTTTTGGTCTTATGTTATTCCCGTTGAGGACGTTCTTGATAGTCCTGTTCTCACTTTCGTTCTTGTGAAGACATTCCCGAAGATTTTTCTCTCATTTCGGTTTGGGGTTTTAATCGTTCTTGGGAACAAAACTACGAGAACGACATTTAGTTTCGATCATACCTTTTGTTCTCGGTCCCTGGTTAAAAGAAACTGTTAGGAGAATCGGTTTTCTTAATATAATTTTTTTTATAGGATTTATACAAATAATTAGTAAACAAAACGGTGATTTTTATGTATTTAAAGATTCTTTGGCGTTGTTTAGACAACGTTTCCATAGCACGTAGGTCGCTATGGAAAAAAATCAAAACAAAAAAGGGAGGAAATGGAGAAAAAAACAATGAAATGTCAAATCGAATTAAGATGTGTCGTATAAACGCTTAATAGGCAGTGCTCCTCGGAACTTAATTTTACTTTTACTCGAGAATTGACAAAATTCGAAAAACCAAAGTAAGGGTACGTCTGACGGTTCCACCTTTGTTCTCTGCATAGTGTACACGTGTATCGAAGTATAGAAAATACTCAGTACTTGGTAGAGGTCTCGAGTATATACTTTTAAGTACTAAACCCACAGCAATTTTCACGAGTAAACAATCAGTGCGAAAATGTTTCCTTTGGGCTGTTGTGACATGCCTTCTACGTTTTGCGGTTTGCCGGCAATTTTAGGTATGTCACGCGAAGCGACAGAGTTTTATCTGACACGGCCTTGAGTCTTGTTGCGCTGCGATCACATTTTGTATGTACACCCGATCTCTAAATTATATATGCACCACATATTGATAAATTTTAAACAATTTTGTTTGTTTATATTATTCAATTTACGCTATTTTTTTATGAAAATATAGTTTATTTATTCCTTAAAGAAAACCATATACACACATACAGACATGTTCTGCAAAGTATTGTTGCATATTTGTAATCCAAGTATTAAATGTTTCAAATGATAACTGATTTAGTGCCAAAATCTTTGATATAAAATCTCCGAAATAGATTTTGTAAATTGCACCGATTTGAAATCGTACGATTTACAGAACATGCCTGATGAATACCAATTTCAAACTTTGCGCAATAATTAAAGAAAATTCAATAAACTTCTGTAAAAATTTCGAGCTTTTTAATTACATTTCCTAGAAAGATTTTGACAATGCAGTTTTTTAGCTAGAAAGCAATTTTTTTTTGCTGTCAGTGGTTATTTCTTCCATACAAAGTATGCATTTTTGACGACTTTTTAAATATTGCACAAAGTATGAAACTTGGATTTGTACGATTTTCGTAAAAAAAAAATTTTAATTGAATAACAAAAAATTTATTGTTAAAAATTGTCAATATGTAGATATTAATTTTACACGAGATGTATTTACATAAGTATGTACATATGAATGTATGTATTAGTACAGCTTACAAAATGTATTTCCACTGGGGGACCCGTACAATCGGCACGTCCCACACCTATCTGATAAGCACTGCCACAGCGCCATGGCGCAACGCTGAGGCACAATACGACCAATGCCCTCAAATATATAATGTGCCTATGGTAATTCATTTTATTTTATTTGTTTAAAGTTTTCTTCAGCCACTCCACGACTTCAGCGACTTTTATTCAGCTAAAATAGGAACTTTACTCCGATTCGATTACTGGCCTTTTTCTTACTGATTTACGACACCGCGTTGTACTGAAAATAAGAACAAACAAATATTATTTTCCATGTAATGCATTTAAGAAAAATGATCATCCCTTATGAAATAGCAATTTAGAGGCAGAATTTTTTTATGTGGATTAAGTGCATTCACGTATATACTTATCGTCGTATAAAGTACAAAACCGCGTACAAAATGCAAAACCGTGTAACTAACATTTGCTGCTCAACTTTTAACCAGAAATGCGATTGCTTTTTAAAAAAGCGAACCATTTTGAAATATGAGTGTTTTTACGCTCTAGAAAATAATTTATATAATTCACATACACGGTTTTGCATTGTGTTGATACGCGGTTTAGTAATTTAAACGACGTTATGCTTGTGTGTACGTTGTACGTACATATGTATGCATGCATTTGCTTGAAAGGGGCTATAAACTGCACATGCAGTAGTCTCCGGTGAAAATCAGAATGAGTTGTCAGTAAAGAAATTAGTTCTTAAAGTAAAATTTAGCAACTAGTTCGGTAATGAGTATTGTATCAGGTGGAAAGAAAGTGTTGTAGTTGTGTAAAGTTCTTCCTCTTCTTATTCTTATTCTTCTTCTTATTTGGCGCTGTAACCGCCTAGCGATTTTGGCCGAGTTAAACAAAGCAACTCAGTCGTTTCTCTTCTATGTCAACTGACGCCAATTGGAAATGCCAAGCAAAGCCGAGTCCTTCTCCACTTGGTCTTTCCATCGCAGTGGGGCCTTCCTCTTTCTACTTTCTTTAATACTTTCAGAGCTAGAGCGTCGGAGTCCATTCGAAAGACATGGCCAAGCCAACGGAGACGCTGGCGAAGAACTTGGCTTCACTTGGCATTTCCAATTGCCGTTAGTTGGAAGAGAAACGACTGGCGTACTGTTTTGGACTCGGCGGTTACAGCGCCAATTAAGAAGAAGACAGTATTTTATCAGCAGTTTTCAATCAGAAATCAAGTAGATGGGTGACTAGATGTATTCCAAAACGAATCACTATTTCATTTCTTTCAAACTAGTGGTATATTTGACTGCTGCGCTGCATAATTATCTTCTTCCCCATTTTGTGGCAACAGGTAAAATTGCATACTTATTACAGACGCATNTGCTGCGCTGCATAATTATCTTCTTCCCCATTTTGTGGCAACAGGTAAAACTTCATACTATTACAGACGCAAAAAAGGAGTCAAGGCGGAAAATGAGTAGTCCACACTTATATACATACATACAAATGAATTAGGTGTAAAATAATACAAAGCCTTTATTTACCGTCGATTTGAAATACAAATACAAAAATACATGCATACATATACATACAAGTTTGATTGGTATAAATCATTCATACAAATAAATCAAAGTGTTTTAGAAAAAATCTAAATAAACCAAAGTTATTTTAAAATATTGTCCGTAAAAGATCCACCGGTGATTATAGAAAATATTTTATGTTATTTTAATTTGGACGACTTATGCAATCATGCCAATATATATTACTGTCTTAGTTTGATAACATTTTTGGCAGCAAAAATTATCACGTAACCTATGCTTGTTCATATGTATATATATATATATATATATGTAACTATTTAAGTACTTGCAGTGTCAAAATGTATGACAAGCTTTTTCTCTGCTAAGCATTTTAACTTTAACTTTGAGTGCAACGGCAAATGTACGGAAGAACTCGTTAGTACTGCTAAAATTAACTATGGATATATGTATGTATGTATGTATGTGTGTATGTACATACATGTGTACATATGTATGTGTATAAGCACAAGGTTTGCATTAATTTTTGTGCTTTGTACCTTCATAAGATCAATTTTCTTTATTTATTTTTGTTTACTACCAAAAGGTTACTTTACTTATTATTTTAAACATGTAATTTTGCGCGACGAGAATATTCATTTATACAAATTTTGTGTTCCAAATTATACGTAGGTACATATTTACATATTTATTTTATGAATAACAGTTCAGGTATCTGTTATTGAATATGTGTACATTAGGGCGGGTTGTTTTTTTTTTGTAATCGTATAGCAAAAACGTAAACTACATAAAATTCTTAGAAAATTCTCCGAAGAAACNATAACAGTTCAGGTATCTGTTATTGAATATGTGTACATTAGGGCGGGTTGATTTTATTTGTAATCGTATAGCAAAAACGTAAACTACATAAAATTCTTAGAAAATTCTCCGAAGAAACCATGTATCTAAAATAAAATCGTAATCCGCGCCTCTCGAATTGAAAATTTATATGGCCGCCCTTGCCAAAAAAATAAATGTTAGAAAAAATAGGTTTTTGCAAAAAGAAAACGAATTTTCTGAATAAAATTGTTTAGTAAGGTAGTTCTTTTGCACTTTATATTTTTTCTACAGTCAAAATTTTTTTTTCCATTAAAAAAATATTCATCCAAGTAAAAAATTTTCAAGTCGAGAGGCGCGGATTAGGGTTTGATTTTAGACCCATGGTTTCTTCAGAGAATTTTCTTAGAATTTAATGTAGATTACGTTTTTGCTATACGATTTTTAATTTTTTTTCATCCATACAAATCAACCCGCCCTAGTGTACATATATTTTGGACGCACAACGCAAATTAAGTGAAAAAGTATTTTTTTCCGTCAGTTTCCATATTAGATTGAAAAGTTTAGAAGTCCGTGGTTGAACAATGAACTCTTTACGCTAATTGAAAATAAAAACGAGTTCTATAGGTTAAAAAAGTAAAATATAAAAACAACATTTATTTTGAAAGTGTATTTAGATCTTTGAAAGTAAAAGTGAGAAACTCAATCAATTTACAAAAGAAACAATACTATGAAGAACAAATCCAACAAAATCTTTATTCTGCAAGCAGACCATGGTCGATACCAAGGCATATCAAGCAGGTAGTAGCATTCGAGCAAAAACAACATTTGCGTGTATTTTATTTGCTGCTTCTGGTATCGAAAGTGTTAAAGACTGTTCTGATTTTTTTTCTCTTCTAAATCAAAGCGTGCCATGTGAAATACAAAAAAAATAATAAATGAAAAATTAAAAAAAAAATAAATAAAAATAAAAATTGTTGCCACTTTCTTTCTTAGTAAATTTGTTTGCTTCTCGAAGCATTGATTCGTTCTTTGCAAGGCCCAATAATCACCCGTTGTCTGGCTGAGTTGGGCGAACGTTCCAAAAGCTGCTATTCAATTGCTTTTTTTGTATGGAAAAAGGTTTCACATGCAAATAGATTTTAACAGCNATTGCTTTTTTTGTATGGAAAAAGGTTTCACATGCAAATAGATTTTAACAACTTAAAATTTTAGTGAGAATAAATTAAAAATATTTGACATTTTCGAGACCAAATAATTTGAAACAAAATCAAATCAGCTGCTCTACTGATACTACCTGTTTAATTTGCCTTGGTCGATACTGAAGGAATTGATATATGGGAAAAATTCTGATAATTTTAGCGAGATCAGTCAAATAAGATACAAAGAAGAAGTTGTAACTAATCGGAATAAAATTGCAAATTGTTTTAATGAATTCTTTACGACTGTTGTCAAAGTTCCCGCAAATATCCATTATATTGAGGAACCAGCTACCAATATTACTAAACCGTTCAAACTAATTGATTGCGACTCACTACAGGTTGAGTTGATTATAAGAAACTTAAGCTTTAAATTCGCAAACGGGCCTGATGGCATCTCCGCGCGTCTTCTCAATAAATATGTATAGAGAATTCTTGGCAAAACCTTTGTGCAACTTCATCAATAAATGTTTCCAAAGTGGTCAATATCCGAATGAGCTGAAAATAGGTGCAGTAGTTCCAGTATACAAATGCGGAAATAGAGAAATGTGTCCAAATTACAGTCCCGTCACCAAACTAAGTGCGCTTAACAAAGGTTTTGAAAGTGTTATGCTAAGCAGGCTTAAAAAAATGTATAATAGAAAATCAAATCATTGATAAAAATCAGTCCGGCTTCGTAGAAAACTCGAACACTTTATCTGCATGTACTACCTATATCGTGTACGACATTTACATATATGTATGTATATGAAAACTCAGATAGAAAGAAATATGTAGCGCCTTTGGCAATTGATCTATCTAAAGCATTTCACTCAGTAAACTTAAATATAATGATCCGAAAACTTGCAGAGTTGGGAAAAGGCGACAAATAATTGCAAATATTTGAAAGTTTCTTAACAAAAGTGAGAAAGTTTCTTAATACATTATAGGAGTTCGAATAGGACAATCCAAACGGGAGTTCCACAAGGTTCCAAATTGGCAGCTACCTTGTTCTTTATATATGTATATCAGCAATGTACTCAAACTTTATCTAAAGGAACCCCTCAGTTCTACGCAGATAATGGTAACTTTATGTATGCAGAAAATTAATAACTTGTGACTTTGAAGTAATCGAACAATGGTTCAACAAAAATTTCCTAAACATTAATCTTGACAAATTTTAATATTTTTTTTTTTAATTTTAAGCCGCTTCCGGCGATTAGATTAGAAGGGAAGAAAAGCTATAATATTTAGGAATTTGGTTTGACACCAGCTTACATTGAAGTGAGCACATAAGTAGCTTAAAATTAAAACTGATTTTCTTTAACTCTGCAATATATAGAAATAGGAACATTATTCCACAGAAACACTTATGCTCACTATATAATGCCTACTTTATGTCGCAGATCAACTATTTAAATCCGATTTGGAGTCGCTGTGCAGATTACAAAATCAACGAACTCTACCTCTATAAGAACATCTACCGCAAGTCTGTACGAAAACAGGCTAAATAAAAAAAAAAAGCTGTAGTAGTCTTCCGAATTAAAAATAACCTGATAAAAAACAACCTCGATCTAAATGTAACTAGCATATAGTCTTTGAAATATAACAAACATCAGAAGTACGTTTTTCAGAACAGGGAAAAGTGCAAACTCTATACGCAACTATGGTGCAAAACTATTTAACAAATTACCAGGAAATGTGAAGCATGTACTAATACAGATACATTCAAAAAATATGTGACAATGCTGCTTCTTCAAAGTTATAACTTCGACATCGTATAAAATCTGAAGCAGAAGGGTTCCTTACTTTTACTGTGTCTCTTTATATTTATTTCTTCTATCGTAGTTATATCCATGATAAAAACATAGCAAGGTATAACCGTTCTTTCAATTTGTCGGCCATGACTTTTTTTTGAAGTTTGCCACCATTTTAAAATCATATAAAAGTGAAAATAAAAAATTGAAATTGTTCGAAATTGTTGTTGCTTGAGATTGAAAATGAAATTGTGTGTGTGAGTTTGTGAGTAAATTTAAAAATTAAATTGTTTGGAAACGTCAAGAATTTTAAAAGTGCCTCTCAGCGGTTCTACCTTACTATATTTTTATCATGGTTATATCCCCAATGTGTAGATAAATTTTATATTCGGCTTTATTATGGTTGTCGACGTCGATGTCGATGCAATTTTTTCATCAAAATATATCGCTCGTAAGTTCAACTCCAGCTACGCTGCCAACAGTATTTTTGAGGAAAGGTGTTCCTCGCTAAAACACTGTGGTCAGCGTAGCTGGAGTCGGACTTACGAGGGCTATTTTTTTGCTGCAAAAGTTACATCGACATCGACATCGACAACCATAATAGGGTCGATTATTTATTTATTTTGTTATTATTTTATTTTATTTATTTTTTTCAATTAAACAGTCACACAATTGTTTTCCAAAATGTATATCGTCGTTTAAAGTACAAAACCGCGTATTGTCATTCTGCAAAACCGCGTAACTGGCATTGCCTGTTAAAAATTGGATTTGCTCACACAAGCTCTTGGCTCAATCCTTATCCATTCGTTCTGAAATATAATAGCCGGAAATGCTATTGCTTTATAAAAAAGGGAACCATTTTGAAATAGTCGGCACCTGGGTTGAAGCCCTGGTCAAAGCAACATCGCAAAAAATATAGAAAAAGGTTTTTTCTTAACAGCGGTCGTCGATCGGCAGGCAGTGGCAAACCTCCGAGTGTATTTCTGCCATGAAAAACAGCTTCTCATAAAAATACAATCGCCGTTCGGAGTCGGCGTAAAACTGTAGGTCCCTCCGCCTTGTGTGACAACATCAAGGCGCACGCCACAAGTTGGAGGAGAAGCTCGACCAAACACTAACATACATATGTGTAAGCGCCAATTATATATATGTATATATATATATTTTGAAATATGATTATTTTTACGCTCTAGAAAATAATTTCCACAAGTTCACATACGCGGTTTTGCATTTTGTTGATACGAAGTTTTGTAGTTTAAACGACGATATTAAGATAAATGGTCAAATCTTGTAAGTATGGAGCCCTAACCGCCAAAATAACGTAAGCGACATTTTTTTCAAAACTTTTTTTTTTTGGTGCAGAAATATTACCAGAGCATCTAAATGCATTTCTGCATCATAAAGAAAATTTTGAAAAAATCTCGCTTACGTTATTTTGGCGGTTAGGGCTCGATATGTCAGTGTCGTAAAGTTATGATAAGCAGTATATCAAATATTTCAAGACAAAAAAACCAATACATCATTATACAGGTTTTATATATGTACCTTTGTATATAAGTATGTATGTACATATGTACATGGAAATGGGGATGTTCATGTTGCGCGATCGAATTAGTGAAATTCAAGAATGCACACATACATATGTATACATATATGTTATGATCAGTATCCCATGTACATACATATGTATGCAGCACAGGGACTATTTCGCCGGCAACTGCTGATAGATAGCACCTGCGAAGACATTCATTCATAGTTTTCATACGTAAATGCATACATACATATCTATATATGTACCTATACAACAATTACATACATACTTACTCATGCATTCATATTTACATATCTGCGCGCTAGTACCCACCTCAATCGACTTACTGCGACAGTTTGGGATGTACATTTCGTACATACATACGTAGATATTTGTTGATGATGTGCATCTGTTTGTATATATGTGCGTATATGCATACATATATGTTTTGCACAGATTACTTAAGGCTGCTCAATTGAACGAAATTACGAATATACATAGGTACATATGTATGGCCGTTGTTGGATGCTAAGTATTACATGTGCATATGTGTGTACTTTATTTACTTTATTATATTTTATATTTAAAATGTTTGTTATTGTTATTGTTCCCTTGCACTGTGCTCTGTACACATACATACATACATATGTATGTATTTATATATGTACATACACTATATATTCATTCTTATGTGTTTATATGATCAGTGCCGTTTTGGTAATTTCCTTTCATTCCAGCAAGTGACTCGAATTGATGCGATGATGTTTTGAAATGAGCTTCGCGTGGCCCAAAGTAGTCTTTAAAAGTAGCACACCGAGCTTATGTAACGTTATTATTGAATACTATATTTTTTCGACTTTAATTGCATTACGGTAGGCATTTTTGTAATTGATAGATGACTAAGTTTTTTTTTCTTGCGCTCACTTGTGATTTATTTATTTCGATTGATTTACACATGTTTCGTGTACGCAAATTCTTATTTGAAAAAAAAGTCTCAAAAATATTTATATACATTTATATAGTTTTTATTAGTGTTGGGTAGCATCGATACCAAAAGTACTCAGAACTCGATTCCCAAACGGATCGACAGTACCCGATTTTTAAAAGTTCCGACAGCGAGTACTCTAAAGCAACATTCAATCGACTTTATTTGGGATTAATATATTTGAATGAAGTCCTGCCAGCTAGCGTATGTATAAATATTTAACAACATATTATGTACATATATTTAAACAAAGTGCTCGATTCTCAAAAGTACTCGATACTCCCAACACTAGCTTTTATTGTAATCAAAAAATTTCCATAATATTGATCAAAAATTTAATGGAAGTTTGCGTGAAATTGAAATTTTCTAATTCCATTGTACCAAGTCAATCGTAAATTATTTTTGACTACTACTAGAAGCACGATTAAAACAACACAAGGTAAAATCCATGATACAGATATTTAAAGGTAGTTTCACTTCTTCTCCTTATTCGCTATTGCTTCCATTTGACGTAAACGGTCATTGGTTTTTAATGCATAAAAAATTCCTTAAAAAATAATAGAATTTTCAAAACCCAAATTTGTTGAGGTGGCAGTTTATGTCAAAAAATTTCAAAGTGAAACTCCCTTCTTTTCTTGTACCATGGTTCGTACCTTCCAATGCTTTTATCATGACAAGAAGTAGAGTAGAATTCTATAGAGTTTTATTTAAATGTATTTGTTCATGTTAGTACACAGATTAATATAAGATATATGTACGTACATACGAACAATAAAAATTTGTAGAAATACTACGTTTCCTTGTTTGAAAGCTTAATTTAACAGGATGTTGGCGTCATTGAAATTTTTGATTTTGATTTTTTCTAGAAACATCCAAATCGAATGTTCTTCTTAAGCATTTTTTGGCGTCCGGATTTGACGGTGTGATATATGTATGTACATTAGCGACAAAAAATTATGCCCCTATTTTTTATTCTGCAATCAAAAAATATTTACACATAGGTCGATCAAAGTTCTCAAAGTTTGCCATGTACAGGGGTAAAATTTCTTTCGGTATGGAATAATCCTAGGGGGTGAGAGCGTTAAAATCCCCGACTTCACTTTTTTCTGGACCACCATAATGTACATATCTATCACTGAACACGACTTTTTGAGAGTCATACATCTCCTAAGGATCATGGAGAAGTTCATCACTCACCTAATTTGATAGTAGACGTAATTTTTGGTAATTGAATTGGTTTTTTATTACAAACTTGTTTCGAATGTATAGTAAATCTGTAGCCATTTACATGTGTATGTAGGTACATATGTACATATCTATGTATATATTTAAATCCAAATTTACTGTGTGTACANACATGTGTATGTAGGTACATATGTACATATCTATGTATATATTTAAATCCCAATTTACTGTGTGTACATATGTATGTACATATATAAGTATAAAGAGCTCTAATTGCATCGAAGCCAGAGGCATTCGTCAAATTTTCACTGCAAGCTCCGCATTCGTTTTCATTACATTACATAAACAATACATTCATAAACAATTAGTTTATTTTTAATTTATATATGTAGCAACAACCATCTCACGTTGGTTTTATTTTCCCGCAATCGCCGTCGGCACGTAAACTGCGCGCGAAACGCAATTTTGACCAACTATAATCGCCTGACATTGAAAAACCCGCATTGAGATTTTATTTTCAAATATTTATTTTGAAATTTTCTTTGTGTTTTCACTATTTTTTCATTGCGATTTGACCACTTCACAACTTTTTTCTTTACGATTTTGTTTGCGCCTCAAATTAAATTTTCAAAAAGATTTATACATATATGTGTATGTATGTAATAACTATTATTTTTGCATCAATTTTTGGGTATGCCGTAGCTAGTGAATTAAAAGTGACCGCTGTGTGTCCAATTTGCACCCGTTTGCGCTGACTGACTGAGCGCAATTGCTGAGCAACCGTCCAACCACGTTCGCCTACTCTGGTCACGGTGCTACCAGTATGACGTAAATCAGGGGCACCTAGCGCTGAGCCATCACTTTGCAGGCGCTCCATCAGCAACAGAGTTAGTATTCATAAAATGCTTCACTCAGCTATAAAATCGCAACGACGACGTAGCTCGGCTCAGCGCTTATTGTTAGTCCAGACCATTGCTGGTTGTATACATATTTGTGAATGTGAGTGTGACTACAGATTGGACGTTGTCGATGACGAAGTCTCTTTGTTTGATTCCGTGGTCATTCCACCGGCTTTATGCATCTACACCTCGCTCACATCGCGTGTGCAACGGACAGCTGATCGTTTGGATTCTTTGTTTTGGTAAATTTCGCTGTTAATCGAACGCGCTTATTTACATACACTTTTTTGTTTATGTTTTTCATGTGCATATTTTGCTGTTGTTTTCACACACCAGCGCAGCAAATTGGTGTAAGTAAATTTATATATATATATGTACATATGTGTATTTGCATGTATACCAAATATAACGGTATTTTTAAAAAGTGGAAATTTAAATTACAAAAAAAACCTTACCTGGTCTTGGCTGCAGCCTACTTTCCGGTGGACAATGCCAATGTCCCGCCCCTTGAGGTACAGCAGCTTCTGGAATTCTGCCGCAGAAGACGGCTTCCTGTCATTCTAGGCTGCAATGCAAACGCCCACAATATGGAGTGGGGCAGCTCGGACACTAACCGCAGGGGTGAGTGCCTCTTAGAATATATTATAAGTGAAGACCTGTGCATTCACAATGTCGGTATTGAACCAACGTTCATTACAAGGGTCAGAGAGGAAGTTCTTTACATCACTATCAGCAACAGACTGGCCAATCCTCCGATCGTCCAGTGGAAAGTCTCATCTGAGCTTTCGCTGTCGGATCACAGGATTGTCTGGTTTGCACTGGGAGCTGCTTGTCAGACAGGTTACCCTAAGAGAAACCCCAGGAAAACAAACTGGGCCAAATATGAAGAGGTACTTAGACTGAACCTACCAAGAATATAGGTACAGGATAGAAAGGTAGATTGTATGGCGTTAGAGGACAGTGTTAATAAGCTGAGCGGTTCAATCTTAGATGCCTTTACGTCCAGCTGTGCCGTGTCAAAGCCTAAGGGGAAGACTCAGCCTCCCTGGTGGCCACGGGAACTCTCGGTTCTTAGGAAAGAGGTGCGCAGACTGTTCAACAGGGCAAAGCGCACCGGGAACTGGGAAGGATACTCAGTCAGTCTGGCAAAGTACAATGAGGAGATTAGAAAGGCCAAGCGTAGCAGCTTCAGGACCTTTTGTGAAAACATCGCATCCACTCCTGCAGCTGCTAGGCTTCATAAAGATATGCCAAGGGACAACACAGGCACTAGATTGGCTATAAGGCTACCTAATGGGACTTTTTCAGGTACGGAACAGGAAAGGGCCCTCGCCCTGCCGTCGGCCCACTTTCCGGACGCCATTCCCACCGCTGGGGAAGCTATGTTCCCTGCGTACAGGCCATCCCCTCCGGACTGGAAGCTGGCTAAAAGCCTTATAAACCAGCAAACAGTACGGTGGGCTTTGGACTCCTTCGAATGCTACAAGGCCCCTGGGGTGGATGATATATGTCCAATGTTGCTGAAGCAGAGTGGAGAGCTCTTACTTCCACATATTTTGGATGTTATGAGGGACAGACTAGCGCTGGCCCACATTCCCAAGGTGTGGCAAAGGGCCAGGGTCATCTTTATCCCGAAGGTAGGTAAGAGAGATTACTCTCTCGCCAAGTTATTCAGGCCGATAAGTCTCACATCCTTTATGTTGAAGGCCATGGAGAAAATTATTGACCATGAAATCAGGTTTAACACTCTGAAACAAACCCCTCTGCATTCCAACCAGCACGCGTACAGGGTGGGTAGATCCACGGACACTGCGCTGTATGCCTTAACGGAGGAAATACAAGGACCTTTGAGTGTGATGAGGTGGTGCTCTGTGCCTTCCTCGATATCGAAGGGGCCTTTGATAATGCCTCCCATTCGGGAGTTGACAGAGCTCTTGAGAAACATAACGTTCAGCCAACCATCCGGCGTTGGATAGCAAGGTTACTGCAGACCAGGATCGTCGAAACTGAAATCGGGCACAGCGTCGTGCGAGCTTAGTTGTGGACGAACANGAGCGGTTCAATCTTAGATGCCTTTACGTCCAGCTGTGCCGTGTCAAAGCCTAAGGGGAAGACTCAGCCTCCCTGGTGGCCACGGGAACTCTCGGTTCTTAGGAAAGAGGTGCGCAGACTGTTCAACAGGGCAAAGCGCACCGGGAACTGGGAAGGATACTCAGTCAGTCTGGCAAAGTACAATGAGGAGATTAGAAAGGCCAAGCGTAGCAGCTTCAGGACCTTTTGTGAAAACATCGCATCCACTCCTGCAGCTGCTAGGCTTCATAAAGATATGCCAAGGGACAACACAGGCACTAGATTGGCTATAAGGCTACCTAATGGGACTTTTTCAGGTACGGAACAGGAAAGGGCCCTCGCCCTGCCGTCGGCCCACTTTCCGGACGCCATTCCCACCGCTGGGGAAGCTATGTTCCCTGCGTACAGGCCATCCCCTCCGGACTGGAAGCTGGCTAAAAGCCTTATAAACCAGCAAACAGTACGGTGGGCTTTGGACTCCTTCGAATGCTACAAGGCCCCTGGGGTGGATGATATATGTCCAATGTTGCTGAAGCAGAGTGGAGAGCTCTTACTTCCACATATTTTGGATGTTATGAGGGACAGACTAGCGCTGGCCCACATTCCCAAGGTGTGGCAAAGGGCCAGGGTCATCTTTATCCCGAAGGTAGGTAAGAGAGATTACTCTCTCGCCAAGTTATTCAGGCCGATAAGTCTCACATCCTTTATGTTGAAGGCCATGGAGAAAATTATTGACCATGAAATCAGGTTTAACACTCTGAAACAAACCCCTCTGCATTCCAACCAGCACGCGTACAGGGTGGGTAGATCCACGGACACTGCGCTGTATGCCTTAACGGAGGAAATACAAGGACCTTTGAGTGTGATGAGGTGGTGCTCTGTGCCTTCCTCGATATCGAAGGGGCCTTTGATAATGCCTCCCATTCGGGAGTTGACAGAGCTCTTGAGAAACATAACGTTCAGCCAACCATCCGGCGTTGGATAGCAAGGTTACTGCAGACCAGGATCGTCGAAACTGAAATCGGGCACAGCGTCGTGCGAGCTTAGTTGTGGACGAACACCTACAGCTACTCACTAACGAGGGCGTCCGGTGCCAAGGGTATGCGGACGACATAGTGATTATCGCTAGAGGGAAGTTCGCTAGTACTCTCTGTGACATCGTCCAAAGAGGTCTTAAACTTGCAAAAAGGTGGTGTGCAGACGTAGGCTTAAATATGGATCCCTCTAAGACAGCTATATTCCCCTTCACCAAGAAACGAAATCTTCAGGGGATGAGGAACCTAACCTTGGACGGGGTCGCAATCAATGTCGCCACAGAGGTTAAGTATCTGGGGCTTACCCTGGACTCCAAGCTTCTGTGGAAGGCCCATGCTGATGCGGTCACCTCCAAGGCCACGAGAGCGATGATGGTGTGCAAACGTCTGGCGGGCAAATCCTAGGGGTGCGCTCCCAGGATCCTCAGATGGATGTACAAAATGATAGGTATTCCAGGACTACTTTAGTAACGATGAGGCAGACGCTCTCTAAGCTTCAACGTCTGGCATGTGTTTGCATTACGGGAGCAATGCGCACATGTCCGACGGCAGCNCGAGAGCGATGATGGTGTGCAAACGTCTGGCGGGCAAATCCTAGGGGTGCGCTCCCAGGATCCTCAGATGGATGTACAAAATGATAGGTATTCCAGGACTACTTTAGTAACGATGAGGCAGACGCTCTCTAAGCTTCAACGTCTGGCATGTGTTTGCATTACGGGAGCAATGCGCACATGTCCGACGGCAGCGCTGGAACTCGAGCCACTGCACCTCTTAGTTGAACAGGTCGCAAAGCGAACCCTCCTTAACCTTGCTAGGGAGGACTTCGGCAAAGGCAAGGTGTTATCATCTAGGAATAGGGACAAGCTTGGACCCAGCTCCCCCTGGCTCTTTGCCCCAGGGACGATATCAACAGATAGGTTGTCTTCAAAAGGAATTTCAGGACTTACACTTACAGCAAGGTTACCTGGTGTGCTTCTATTATGGAAAGGCACATACAGGCGAGCACAATACAGTGGTACACTACGGTTCCAAAACACCTGCGGGGATTGGAGCAGGCGCGTACGGCCCCAGGCTGAAGCTTTCGGTGCCCCTGGGAACCTTCCCAAGCATCTTTCAAGCGGAGGTCTATGCCATCAGTATAAGCGCAGAGATCAACATGAGTAGGAACTATAGGAATGAAAGGATACTTATACTAAGTAATAGTCAGGCGGCACTAATGGCTCTCTCATCATTCGAGATCAAGTCCTCCTTGGTTTTGGAGTGTGTCGAGAGGCTTAATGCTCTGGCGGAGATTAATGATATCCACCTAATGTGGGTACCTGGGCACGTGGGGGTTGCAGGAAATGAGGAGGCTGATCTCCTGGCCAGATTAGCCGCTTCCTCGACCCCGATAGGACCTGAGCCCTTTCTGGCAGTGGGACCCGTTACCATAAAGGATATGCTTAGAAGAGACAATTGCAAACTGAGGGAACTGCATTGGCGTGACACCATGGGTCAACGTCAGGCGAAAAGCTTATTAGGAGGTTACAATCTGACAAGATACAGGCTACTCATGAATTTTCCAAAGGATAAACTGAGGGCTATTACAGGATTTTTGACTGGCCACTGTAGGCTAAGAGGGCACATGTACAAACTAGGTATCTGGTCCAGCGACCTGTGTCGCTTCTGCGATGCCGCCAGGGAAACTCCCCTGCGCCTTCTTGTAGAGTGTGAGGCCGTTGCGTGCAGAAGGTATAAGAGCATAGGGCACGTCTGGCCAAGAGAGGAGCACATACACTCACTGTCCCCGGGGTCTATTATGAAGTTTTTAGACACTCTGGGGCTGGTTGAGGAGTTGTGATGAGCTAGGGGCACAATAGACCCCCCGGTCGCAGTGCCTTACCCAACCAACTACCTATCTATATTATATATTTATATTATGTTATTATATATTATATTATTATATATTATATATATGTATATTATATTATTATATATTATATATTTATATTTATATACAGAAATTAAAAATTATTAGAAGACAAAAATAAACAAAATTTAGCTGCAGTTGCTGCTGTTAAATGCTTGTTGC